TCAGAACCTTATAAATCATTCAAATCCCCTAGCACAACCCCTATCTAGTTCCACTCATCCCTACAATCCTCCTCGAAGGATGAAGCGGCAGTGGCCCAGAGATCTTTTGTAGTATATATCTTGGAGTTCTCGCAATGGCCAGATTGTCCTCTCGAGACTTGAGAGTATGTGGCTAAAGCGCTCTCGCTCAAACTCCACTGGCTTTAGCACCAGTGACGCTGTTGAGAGAGTAGCGCAGGGATCTCTTGGAGTTCTGCTTTTCTATCGTTGGAAGGAGAAGCCTGGCTTGGGGTTCCCTGCCTAATTGTATATATTGTATATAGGTATGACTGTGTTTTTATGTTTTTTAATTTACTTATCTTTAGGTTATTTTATTTTTTTATTCAACATAGTTTTTGATTATTATTTCACTTTTGTTAATGTTATATTTTCTGTATATATGGTGTGAATGTGTTCATATATCACTATAATCTATTGTCTACGTGACAGATTGTTATAATTCAAAATAAATTAATTTAAAAAAATTGTTCGTTAATACAATCAATATAATGTACAAAGAACGTTAATATAACTCTATAACTATCCCATTTATGAGTACTGAATGTTATTGGAGAGTAGAGATGGGCAGTACTCGATTACTTTCATGATTTGAGTAATTTTATTAGGAAAAAGTATCGAGTAGTTTCTGTACTCGGCCTGACATCGGCGAGTACTGAGAATACTCACGCTGCGTTAATCATGAATTAGTTAAGTACAGAAAATACTCTCGCTGTTATATCGAATTACAGAAAGTACTCAGCCTGATTCCTACAAAGAGTACTTTTTATTTTTCAACTACTCCGTCATTATTATAAAGAGTACAAATGTTTTCATTTATTTCCTTCAATAATAGCGGCCATATTCAACCTGACCAATTCTGACTCCCCATTAATCGATATTAGACTAATCATCATGTTTTGGGAGCCCTTTTTATAAAGAAATACTATCGGATTTGAGATAGTGCCCCCGGGCATCGAATTTTCATAACTTTTCCGATTTAATCGATACCAGGGCCGACTATTATATTTTGGGGGGCGCTTTTTTTGAAAATGGGCCCCCCGGGCACCGACTTTTTTTAACTTTTTGATTTAAATCGATATCAGGGTCGATTAATATGTTTTGGAGGGCGCTTTTTATGAAAACGATATCGAATTTTAAGATTGGGCCCCCGGGCCCCGACTTTTTTTAACTTTTTGGATTAAATCAATATCAGGGTCGACTATTATGTTTTGGGGGGCGCTTTTTATGAAAATGATATCGAATTCGGGATTGGGACCCCGGGGCCCGACTTTTTGTAACTTTTCAGATTTGATCGATATTAAAGTCAATTATTAGGTGTTAGGGGGCGCTTTTTTTGAAAATGATGACGGATTTGAGATTGGGCCCCCGGGGCCCGACTTTTTGTAACATTTCAGAATTAATCGATATTAGAGTCAATTATTAGGTGTTGGGGGGCGCTTTTTATGAAAATGATGTCGGGGATTTGAGATAGTGCCCCCCGGCACCGACTTAGTAACGTTTCTGATTTACTAGATATCAGGGTCAAAAATTAAGTTTTGGAAGACGGTTTTTATGAAATACTGTCACATTTGAGATTGCACCCAGTGGATTCAGTTTAGGGGATGCATTTTATAAAAAAAAATCTGATATCATTTTTATAAAAAGTGTCCCCCAAAACCTCATAATCAACATTGATATCGATTAAGCACAAAAGGTTACAAAAAGTCGGGGCCCGGGGGGCCCAATCTCAAATTCGAAATCATTTTCATAAAAAGGGCCCTCCAAAACTTAATATTCGACCCTGATATCTGATTAAATCAAAACGCTAAAAAAGTCGGTGCCGGGGGGCACAATCTCAAATTCCGAAATCATTTTCATAAAAAGCGTCCCCCAAAACATAATAGTCGACTCTGATATCGATTAATCCGAAAAGTTAAAAAAAAGTGGGCCCGGGGGCCCAATCTCAAATTCGATATCATTTTCATAAAAAGTGCCCCCCAAAACATAATAGTCGACCCTGATATCGATTTAATCCAAAAAGTTAAAAAAAGTTGGGGCCCTGGGGAGCCCAATCTCAAATTCGATATCATTTTCATAAAAAGCGCCCCCCAAAACATAATAGTCGACCCTGATATCGATTTAATCCAAAAAGTTAAAAAAAGTCGGGGCCCGGGGGCCCTAATCTCAAGATCGACATCATTTTCATAAAAAGCGCCCCCCAAAACATAATAGTCGACCCTGATATCGATATAATCCGAAAAGTTACAAAAAGTCGGGCCCCGGGGGCACTATCTCAAATCCGACAGCATTATGATAAAAGTCAAGTGGTGTAGAAAAAAAAAATGGTCCCCAAAGTTGATTAAATCCAAAATATTTTAATAATTCTTTATTTTATCGATTTACATTAATATCGATACTATTTAAAAAAACTATACCCCCATAAGATAACAATGGACTTAAATATGGAAGAAATATTAAATATTCTACTCCTGTAATTTTTATAATGAAATACTCGATTACTTTGAAAAGTACTCAGAGTAAAATATTGCTGAGTAGATTTGAAAATAGAAAGTACTCAGGAGGACAGCTGATTACTTTTTGTACTCGTCAATCATGAGGTCTAGTAGTGATTAAAGTACTCGATACTCGAACCGGGCGAGTATTTGAGTAAATTACTCTGTAATTGTACTTTTTACTCAGAGTACAATTTTGCCCATCTCTATTGGAGAGGCCTGTAGGCACTCTCGCCAGTACCACTTTTTTTTGCTGATTCAGTGTATTTCCTACAAAACCACTTCAAATATTTTAAAATATTATCAGTGTTTTAGAAACAGAAATATATTCTTCAGGTGTATTATTTCAAGAGGTTTTCCGTTATTGTTTGCCGTTTAATTACATACGATGGTTGATTTTCTACTTGAAATTTGTTTTTGAAAATATTGAATTTGCTGGTGTTTTTTATTGCCTAAGCCAATTATTTGTTTAATTTTTTTTTCATGTGTTATTATTCACTGGCTATTCAGATTTAATAAAAGGTCCATTATAACGAAATTAGACCAAATGCTGATTCTCAGTGACCAAAAAAACTAACTCAAGTCAAAGTCGTCAGTCCGCCACCTTTGAACGCTATTTTGGGACAGTGCGTTCTTTTTTTTTTCGTGAGAACATTGACCTTTCTTTAATAAATAGTTACAAGGAACATAATGATATCCAATTTAATATCACCAATATAAGTCCGAGGTACAGACTCCTTCATGTCAAATTATTAACATCTGTCTAAATATTCGTGAATGGTTTCATCTTATCGTAACCTATAACTTTTTTATTTACGTTATTATATTTAATTTAATGAGGCAAACTTATGGGCACTCAATTCGTTTCTAATTGAATTGTAAAATAATCTGATAAAAACAAAATCAAGAATAAAGGTGGCCTACAAAAATATTGGGCCGTTTGGCATGACCTCTATCCCGAAGATGTCAAAATAACGAAATTATATAGGTCAAACAGCCTAATATGTTTGTAAGCCATTTTTTTTTCTCTATTTTGAGGTCACCATATCTTATGATTCAATTGGGAAGCAAATGGCCTTTAATGGTTTTTGATGAGCAGCAAATGGGTGTTAAATGAATTTTTAGTGACTCATTGAATAGACAAAGTTTGCCCACCTTTACATTAATAATCCCCCAATTCTGAGAATTTTCGTAAATAAAAAAAATTCTTATTTACGAAACCTCCATGTACAAAGTATATGAAGTTTTTAGAGTGTTATAACTCTATTTACGTGTCATAACTTTATTAACTTGTAAAAACAATATCACAGATTAATGTTTTGTATCAAGAAAGTTTCAGATTTTTTTTTGTTTATCACGCGGAACCTAATGTAAGAGATCATGCCAAACAGCCCAATATTTTTGTAGGCCACCTTTATTCTTGATTTTGTTTTTATCAGATTATTTTACAATTCAATTAGAAACGAATTGAGTGCCCATAAGTTTGCCTCATTAAATTAATTGATTTAATTTAATGATGAAACGTCTCATTTCTGATAATGAAGTTTAGACGGATGTTAATAATTGGGTAAAAAGGGGCCTGAACCGCGGATGCCAGTAAAAAAAGATTATTGTTTTGTACCAAGAAAGTTTCAGATCTTTTTTTGTTTATCACGCGGAACCACTAGCGGATCCAGGATTTAATTTGGGGGGGCTTCAGCCCGAAAGATTTTTTTTTCATATACATATAACGGTAATTAATTTGACAAAAAAATAAAGAAATTAATTACCTATATGAAATGGTGTTTAAGTGGTTCTTGAAGTCCTATTAAATATAATTACAAGAACAAGAATACTTTAAGAGATAGTTTTTAATATTTTTTTCTGTAAAACATGGTTATATTTTACCATTTGGTGGGGGGAGGAGAGGTTCACCCCGAAAGCTCCCCCCCTCCCCTGTAGATCCGCCTGTGGTCTCTAGAGAACGAGCTTATAAGATTGAAAACTAATTTAATTTATTTTTTTTTTCATTTTGCTAAAGGTGCAAATATAGGGAGAGTCAACGTTGTCGACCACTACCAGACAATGAATATATATCCCTTCACCCCATATTTTGAATAGTCCCATTTGTAAATATATATATATTTACAACTGGAAAACTAGAAAAAATGTACTTCAAAGAAAAGTAGAATTTCTTGGTTCTTGAAGTCCTATTAAATATAATTACAAGAACAAGAATACTTTAAGAGATAGTTTTTAATATTTTTTTCTGTAAAACATGGTTACATTTTACCATTTTGGGGGGGCTTCAGCCCGAAAGCCCCTCCCCCCCCGTAGATCCGCCTGCGCGCGGAACTTAAGCGGCCAAGCGGCGATCAACTCAGATTCCCCGACCAGGAATTCTTAACAAAGGATACCTGTAGCCGACGAAACCGTGGGGGGGGGAGAGAGGTGACGTAAGTTGGTAAGGGAAAGTGAAGGTGGGGGGCCATGGCCAAGCACTGTCTTATAAGGAGTTTTGAATTGTTGGTCGCCGGGGCCTCAGGTCAGCCCCGCCATGTCCCGCAAGCTTGTCAAGTTCTTGATCCTCTTCGACAATAGCAGCCTACTCTACTTCCCGGGACAATTCCTCAGCGGTAGGGTATTGGTCGAACTTAAGGACGACACCCCAGCTCTTGGTGAGTCTAATGAGCCAGTCCCAAATATTACCTACCTTGAAAAATTTAGTTTATTTAAAAAAAAAGTAAGCAAAACATTTGGCTAAATCTATTACATATTGTTTAGAGAAGAATAACTGGCCGTTTTTTGTACATTGTTGATTGTTATTTGTACAGATTTGTCTTTTCTCTATCAGAGATATCAGTCGAATTTAGTGTTGGACTTATATAGCTGTTACAAATTAAGATTAATTGATTGATCTAATATAATCTATGTTTGTTAAAGACCATGAATATTCGCAGTGGGCAGTGGAAATACTTCACCCATGACAATAGTTATATATCCTAAATTGATTATTGTAATTTGGTCAACATCATCACAATATTAACTTCCATTTTAATATTGGCTTAGTGTTTATAGTAGAATGCGGTTTACAAGATGTTTCGAAAGACAATGCTAGTGTTGAAATAGATTTGATATGATGATTCCAGTTAGTGCAATTATCTATAGCCGACAAGGATCGGGTTGTAATAAACTTTAAGTATCTAAAAAAAAAAAGAAATAGATAAAAACTTTAGTAACCTAAAGTGCTATATTGGTTTGTATTTCTTCTATTAATCAATTAACACTTCTTAGTCACCAAACCATTTGCCAAGAATTGTAGTGCTCAAATCAATATTTAAAATAATTTGATTTTCTTCAAGTTCACTATATAATGATTACTTATCAAGGATTATTGGTATTGAATTTTGCAGATTAATTAAAGTTAACGGTACGTTTAGACATTTAACAAACTCTGGGAAGCACAATCATCTAACTTAACTAACAGCGACATTATTACTAAACCAAACTATTTATTTTATTTGAGAAGGAGTTAGTTGAGGGTGCGGTCAAATAAATAAAAAAAAATTAAAATATATAAATAATTTTAATTTTTGCCGACGTTTCGACCCACTTTGCAGGTCGTCTTCAGGGCTACAAAAGATACAAACATGTTGAAAAAATAAAAAATAAATATAAGTATATATAAATCACGAAGAAGTTGTCAGATACAGAAATAAAAGATAAATAAAATAAAATAAATACATGATAAGAAAATAGATAAAAGAAAATAAATACATGAATGTTAACGAATAAATGAATGTTAACGAATAAATAGATTGAAAATTGAATAACTATTGTTACAGTAAAGTTAAAATATGGATAAGATAACATAATAATAAGATATCAGTGGATAACAAGCAAGTGGAGGTTACCTTTAATTGTAAATAAACAGATAACGGGACCAAAGGTTAAGAAGTGAAGAAATTGAAAGATTAATAGGGTAACATTAGTGTAATATTGTTGGGATAGATTATTAAGTATAAATAACTCTATAAGAAAACAATAATTTTAAAAGAATACTTTAAAATGTAAGAATAAATGTAAAAACAAGGTTATGATGATAAAGAAACCTGTTTTTTGTTTCTTTATCATCATATGTTTTTTAAAATATAGTTTGTCGCGCGACAAATAATAATAATTTTAACAGTAAAGTATATATAACCTCTATAAAATACAATTAAACATTTAAACTATTTGATGTAATTATTCTCTATGAGAGTGTGCGTGAGTACAGATACATTATTTTGAATTTATTATAAATTAATCGATTTTACATCATCCATTGCTACATCAAAGCATATTTCGTTTTTAAAATTAACAAATTTATTTCTTCCCTACATTTGTTTTTTCTTGCATCTCTGAAAATGATAATCATAACTCAAATCTCCTTTCAGATGCTTCTATCGCGATAATATTTTATCGGTAAGTGCAATTTCGTATTTCTGAGTCATGTAAAATGAAAATTTAAAATGAAGAGAAGAATAGTTGGGGTGGTCAGTCAAAAAAGAAGGCAAAAATAAATATTATCATTTATTTTTGCCTTCTTTTTTGACTGACCACCCCAACTATTCCTCTCTTCATTATCTACGACAGTCAACCATTTACCAATTATGAAAATTTAAAATATTGATAAATGAATGAAACCAATAATAAAATATACTTTAGGGGATTCACGCAATGGCAAACTAAGTATTTACTCGGCCATTTTTTAGGTAAAATTATATTTTTCTAATTATATTATATAGAATTTGTAAATAAATAAAAAAAATCTAGTAAGCATACATAATATAAAAATTATTTCCACTGACAAGGGGGGAAGTTTTACTATCATGTGATGATTGATTTCAATGAAACGTTTTTTGGTTGTACAAGGTCAAAAATATAAGACCCATCCCGAGAGTTCTTGCCCTTGAATGCTAGAAAAACAATTATAAAATTTTAACATCTTTTAAAATTAATCATTTAATTATTCTGCCTCTGCTCTGCATTTCTAGTCCATAAAATATCAATCTTTTTTTTTTTTTGTTTTTACAAAGTAAGAAAATCATATTGCTGATTTTATCAATCGAATTCAAATGTATAATAAATTACAAAAAACGCTTCCGGTATAGTAGCAGGCCCAGTTGATACAATATTCGTAACATCTCCTTGGTAGATTCTAAATATTAAGCAGTAATTGTTTTTGGATCAAGGACTGGATTAAGAGGGCGGTTGATAGAACAAAAATATATAAGGAAAAATAACGAATTAAAAATATTATTAATTTCAGCCAACATAGAGTGCGAATGTGATCTCTGAACACTATTATAAATGTCCTTTGAGACAGAATGTAATATTTTTCCATAAATAAGTAGTTATAATTTTAGCCAAAACATGTGAAAATAATAAAATGTGATTTTGCTTGTATGAAGATTTTTATTTCGTCACATATTGTTTAATTCCAATAATTTTGAATTAAAATTCAGATGAGACATTTTTAGTTTTGACAAATAACAAAGCAAACATTGAGTGAAATCAATGCATGGTTCTCTTTAAATTCTCTTCATATAATAAAATAAGTCATGTGTAAATACTGTATAGGAATAATTGTTGAGGCAGGACCGCAACTAGAGGGAGGAGGGTTGAGGCAAAGGGGGTCTACCCCAGGCATAACAATTGAGTTTAGCCAACATTTTTTTAGCTTAGCCAAAAATATTCTTTTTCCAATTTTTGGTTGTTATAACTTTAAGTCAGTCAATAATATGAGTCCATGGTTATTTATTTCGAAATATGTATATTATCTATATATTTTTTTATTGAGTATTAATATAGTCTGCCTCCACGGGCGGATCTACGGGGGGGGGGGGGCTTTCGGGCTGAAGCTCCCCCAAAATGGTAAAATATAACCATGTTTTATGGAAAAATATATTAAAAAACTATATCTTAAAGTGTTATTGTTCGTGTAATTACATTTAAAAGTACTTAAGGAATCACCTAAACACCATTTCACATAGATGGTTAGTTTCTTTCTTTTTTTCCAAAGTAATTATCATCATTTTTACGAAAAAGAAGCTTTCGGGCTGAACCCCCCCAAAATTAAATCCTGGATCCGCTAGTGTCTGCCACACTGAAGTGCATATCTATAATATATTTTTAAAATGTCGACTTTTATTGTGGGGAGGGGCTTCCAACTTGTGCTCGCTCCTCCTGTAAAAATCTCAGTACCGGTCCTGCGTTGAGGAATACTATTTGGGACTATGTTCATAAGCCCTGTATCATGATAAAATTATTTCATCGTTTATGAACTAAAGAGCTAAAGCGGGATGACTGTGTGGGTATAAATGTGAGTACATTGGTAATAAATATAACGATGTAACATTTTTAAGAAGGAATTACATACACTCGGGGTTTTTTTATTGTTAGAAAATTGATAAATATTTCTAGTCTTACATTTGACTTAGGTTCGGGTTATGTGCTATTACCGGCGAATGCTGAAAAACAAGGAATTTTCCTAAATAATAATAATAATACTAATGTTAATAATTTTTATCTCCTTACACCTCGAATTCTTAAATTTAATGTGTTATTTAAACTAATCATATAGGATAAGCGGAACTGAGCTCACCAGTGTATCAGTTATCACCTGGCTCAACCTTAATTTGAAAAAAAAGAAAAAAAGAAGAGGTTGGCGACTGCTAAAAATATGAATCAGGTGCCATTTTACTTATTAGGCTTTTTCACTGCCAATATTCAGCGAGCCATAAAGATCGTTGCTCAATAAAGTTTCGATATGAAATTGTTGATATTGGTTTTTTGTGATCGATTGCACTCTTTATAGGTTTTATAAGAAAGTAAGTCATGTCTTGGCGTTTTTTGGAAGTCTTCCTGAAGAATTTTTTCAATTAGTATAGCTTTACTATATTACTCTTCAAACTAAAGTCCATTGTTTTTAACTACTTTCACCTATCTTTCTGCCAGGAAATGGATTTGATGCCGGTACCACTCCTTTGTTTTTGAGGCAAAGAACTCATGACATCTAATTTTTACGTCCTCGAGATTATCAAAGATCCGATCTCATAAAAAATGAGCCAATGACCTAAACAAACCATAATCTGACAGTGCAATATGTGGGATGTACGCAGAGGTTTGTGAAGCAGGTGTTTACTGCTTGAAGTTAAGATAATTTCCAAGCGGAATGCTTTACACTCAAAACTGCTTAAACCTTGTCTAGCTGTTCACGGCAAAGGTTTGAGTCCACTTCTCGACCACCAGGAATAAGGTCAAAATGCTAAACGAAGTTTCGAAGGCTTATATTCCCATTGTTGAAACGCCTGAACCAAATTAAAAACCAAATCGATGGATAACTGACTCTCCTTTTATGGCACATATTTCTCTGGGGGCAGCTTTTGTGATTGCCCTGTGACTGGCTGACCCTCTTGGAAATATTGAAAAAAATAATTTTTATTTTTTAAAATTTATTTATTGAGTAACACAACAATTCGTCACATGGACATTAGTTATTGTGAGGTTAGAAAAAAAAATACAAACGAAAGGTGATTATTTTGCCAGTCAGATACTTTGAAAAGAATTAGAGCGTATTATTTATTAAATATATTTTTGTTGGATATTGGGAAATAAATAAAATTTAATATTTCAT